TGCAGCGTGCTGGGGTCAGATCTACCCCTCATCCCACTGGTCCCGTCTGTGAAAGGTTTTCTTCTTATCAATCCTGTGTTTTTAATATAAATAAAAATCTTGATCTCTGCCACTGGGAAACCGCATCCCATTTTTTTTCCTAACAGAAAAATGGGAATAGGTTTCCTTTAACTAGTGGAAGGGTCTAGACTCTAAAAAGGTTTTTATTATTGTGTGCCCGGGGTCCTTGGTTTTAGACATTTATCTTCTGGTGAACCAGTAGGGAACAAGAAAGGCAGTATTTTGCAACTCCTAGACCCCCAGCTCTAAATAATGACTCAAAGCTGAAATTGAAGCAGGTGCATCATCTTCTTCATTGTGTCACTTTTAGCACAGACATTATACTTTATGGGCTTCAACTATCAAAATAGTTTGTGCAATGGACCCTAAAAATGGTGATGCATCAATCAATCAGTCAAGCTTTATTGCTTCAACTTTATTTACAGCTGGCTTATAAGCCATATTATAATGCACAATAAGAAACACAACAGAATACAAATGCATTGTAACGCAGTGCCATTTCTGTGTGTTTACTCTGAAGCCTGTGGCTGCTCTCCAAGAAATACCCCAGCGAGTGCACTGCACCAAGCCAAATGCATCCCTGGTGTAACCTCATCGATTCTGCCCTGCCAGACCAGCTCCAGGAGGATGGATTCAGCCAGTCCCAGTGGCTTGCACAGGCTCCTGGAGCCAGCCGGGCTCCGACAGTGCTGTTAATAGGATGGGCAACAGTGTTCAGAGAGGAATGAAGAATGAAGTGGGTTGGCTGGACAGGCAACCGAGCAGAGGGCTATTTTTTTCTGTAGGATTGGTCAAAGACCTTTAGCCGTCAGCTGGATGTTTTTCCTTTCTGCCTTTGGATTCCAACCGCTGTGCACAATTTAGGTAGAAAAGCATTGAAGCTACCTTAGGGTATGGTTATAATACATACATGGAGGTAAAGCTGTTGTTACTGGGTTTGCCACAGGTTCCCATGGCTCTTCCCAGATGATTGACATCTTTTGGGGTGGTGACATCTCAGACTTTCCATAACCATTATATGCCATGCATATATTATGATATGATCTGTATGTTATATATGTTATATGTATGATATATATCAATTTTGTCATCAGCAAGGGCAATTTTGAGTGGGGCAGATACAACTGTGCTTGAACTGAAATAAATGCCAGTAGAAGGTTAAGGCTTCATTTATGGAAACATGACCAGCATCTAAGAGTATCAAGCTGGTAGTGCAAGTGAACAAGTGGCCATCTATGTATTGTTCTATGGTTACTGCAGGAGAAGTTTTCAGTATGGGCCTCAGGTTCCCATGTAAATATTTTGGTTTGAGATGGCAGTGGTTATGGCAGGTGATCATGTCCGTGTTAGTGCCTGCATCAGATGCAAGAACAAGTGCATCATCTCTCCAGACTGTGTGCTTGCTTCTGCATTAATTTCTCACTGCAGGCACTTCTTAGGCAGTTCAGAAAGAGTGACTTAGAAAAGGTGACTTAGCAAAGAAAAAAAAAAAAAAGATGATTAGAGAGTGTAAGAAAAAAAGGCTTGGCTATTGAATATAAAATTCTTGATATGACAAAATATGAGCAATGTAAGGTTTGGAGTTTTGGATTCTTTTAAAAAGGACTCAAATTTTCGTTGATGCTGCAATAAAAAGATGTTTGTAAATATGCAACTAACATCTATTTTGCAAAATAGATTGTTTTCTAATGCTTGTCCCTTCCCCAAATACTCGTGTTGTTCATATCAGCTCGTAGAGTTTACCATAGTATTTGTAGTGGAAATCTCTAATTTGATATTTCCCCGGTGAGTTTAATGAGCCTGAAAAGTGACATTTAGAGCTAGTTTCCTCTTTGTGCTTTGAAAAATGAAATACAAGTAGTTATCTGTTAAATGAGATAATTACATTGCTACTTTGCTAAAGGCACATATTAGTGATTTTTAGCTTGTTTCACTTAATTAAAGCTTTACAAAACGTAGAGTGCCAAACCGCTAATAGACCTGTTGGAACAGTTACTGAGACCGTGAAATAAAACCAGTTGTTCTAAACAAGTCACAGAAAGAGACTGATGAAATGGCTGGCAGCTCCAACATAAATTTAAGCTTTGGCTACATTAGAGCAAATGTAATAACAGCGGCAAGTAACCAATAGTTTTAATTCCACTGATCTTCCTACAATAATTATAAGGAACTTTTAATGTCTGTAATTAGACTGTTAGAGATAGACCAGTGCTGCACTGTGAAAAATTGGATGCTTACTATAATTGAAAATTAATCACTTTTCATTACCAGGAAGGGATACAGTTGTTATTTTGAATGGGTTGAGATACATCATATTAATTATGGGCAAACAAATTCACGTATTTGAAGTCAGTAACTTTGGTGCCAGTGGGCAAGTCTGTGCCAGAAGTGTTTCTGCTACCAGAACGTATTTGATTTGGTGATTGTCTGACCACTAATTGCAGCACAGCAGTTTGTTTTACTAAGGCTGAATTTTACCAGTCGTGCCCTCAGTGAACCGCTGTTGGGTTTTCTTTGGGTGGAATAACTGTCTGAACAAGCTGTAACCCCAAGTACACGTATGCAGCCATCCCAGCAGCCTTTGAGCGTATTTGAACAGTGAAATAATGAACAGGCCACACTGCAGGGGCAGAAAATGGTGCTAGATGTCTGCGAGGAGTGCTACTGCTCGGTCTGATGGCTGTGCAGAGGCTGCCCCTTTCCCTGCTCTTGTAATGGAAGCTCACAGAGCGGCTGCTCCTCACCCATACAGCCACCAGATCCCTGGAGCTCAGTGAACGTGGCCTCCCAGGCAGATGGGCCTCTGGGGAGGAGGAAAACAAGCTTGTGGAAGAGGCTGGTTTGGGCATGGTGCTCCTCAGATGAAGTTGTTTATTTTGTCCTGAATGAGGACATGAGTGCTTCAGGACAGTCTGCTAACCAGGGATGGTATCAGAAATAACATTGTTAGACTAGCAGCAGTCTCAAATGGAAATGCATGCTAAAATATAACCTTTTCTAGTGAAAATGGGGATTACAAGCATTTTTTTTTCTGTTTTAGTGAAAAGGTTTCCTTTTTTTTCTTTTTTTCTTTTTTCTTTTTTTCCAAACTAGCTCTGCTCTTTTGTTATGAGTTGTCACTGACACCAGATTTATGACTTGAACCAGCAAAGTGGCACCCTCAGCACCCTGTAATGCCTTTCTGTTTAAAAGGTGGCATTTTATGCTCCAAAGGTGATGTGAAAATGTCACCATCTTGCTCCACAATTCTTCTCCTTGTGCATCTGTCACTGATCCCAGCTGCCAAATGCAAGGGCAGCAGACGCACAAAATCTGCTCCAAGCATTATCCTGTGCGTTGGCAATAGGCTCTTGCCCAGCTGTGGATTTCTTAGAAAACATCCAATCTTAGGAGCAATAAATGAGCATAATGGTGAGGGAGATGTGTCCCTTCTTGGCTGTAATGGCTTTCTTCTGGCTGCAGCAGGAAAGGTAGAAATCAGAGCCCTGGCTGCCACTGAGTTTCCATATGCAGAGCCGCGCTGCTCGGGCTGCGCACCTTTCCCTGCTGTCATTAGGCTGAGCAAGGATGTGGCTGCTCATGACTGGGTGATTGATGTCAAATGTAGTAGCAACATTAAATTTGTCTGATATGGACAAAGAAAAGCATTATTCACTGTAAAAATCTTGTCTAAAGTTCCCATCTAGCCGGTGCTGTTCCTAAATTACGTTTGTATGAATTTTAAAATGGTTTTTTAAATTTCTTGGCCCAGGATTGTACCCAAGGTCACAGAATCGGAAAGCTGGGATCTGAGGCTGGTTAAGACTGGTAGTGAAAAATGTGCCTGTAATACATCTTCATATTTGCAAATGTATTTTATTGCTGTCCGTATCCTGTGAGAAAAATCCAATGTTCTTAAAGACAAGCACTGCTCGTTATATAGACACTTATTAATGTTTATTAGAAACTCATCTCACTAACGTCCATGGCTTTATTGGAAGTTCCTTAAGTAGCAAATCCAATTTCCTTTCTTATGCTTGTGCTTACTTAATTAACATCAAAAATTGAATGAGGCAAAACAAAGTTTGATATTTATTTTAATAAGTTATATAAAGTTAGTGTAATCTCATTGAGCACATTCTTCATTGCTCCAGCTGCATGCACCAAGTGCCTTTGCAGCTCCTTGGTTTATGGTTTTGCATCGTGCACGATGGACAACCTAGCCACTAATGAGGCAACCAGTAAAAGAAAGGAATAAATTGTAAAGTTTGTGCTTTATGGTGCACGTTCTGGGGATACAGGGCTGCTTGTTGTGTGCTCTGCACGTAGCTGGAGATGCCTTGGTAAATTAAAGAACTAGAGCCTAGTTCTGAGAGGAGAGGTTTTGCAGAAAAACCTTCAACAAGCCATCAGGATTCCACATGGCATAACGCTGTTAAGGGCAGAAAGCAGGGGCCTGCAGCACGCTTCTGATAGGAGCTCTTTTGGAGGGGGCATCATCCCACCTTGCTGCACCCACTCTGGCAACTCGCTCTTTTCAGAATATTTACCTGACCATGTGACGTCTGTTGACCTTAGAACAAGCGTTATCATATTGGAAAGTAATGATAAAAAAATACAGTACTACAGTAAAGCTATTATAAGCTGTAGTGTTTGTGCCATTACTGGGGAATATGGTATTGATTTCTTAATAAATTATGCCATAACCTACATTTTTGCCTCGGGTTAACATTTAACACTATAAGCAAAAGAAAGGTACAATATTATACAGATATCCGAACAAGATTTACCCAACCACAGAATTTAGCTTTAGAATCAAGAGCTGTGGGGCCTTGCTCACCTTCACTTGTGGTCGTCTCCTCTATCACGGCTCCTGGGCAGGGGACAATGACACTGGGTGTCCCCACAGCAGGGTGACCCTACGTAGGGTTGATGGCTCTGCTGCTCACTTTCTCTTCCAGATGGTGCAGCGTTCAATATTGAATTGTGACCATTCTTTGGCCATGAGATAACCTTGCTTCAGTAGTGCTGAGTGCCCACAAGGAACATCTCCAATGTAATATGATGGAAGTGAAAGAAAGAAAGAAATCCAGCCTGGCACTTGTTGTGAGTTGCTGCTTTTATATTCAAAGTGAAATGTTTTCTCTGTGTGTGTTTAGAGGAGGGGTTCCATTATAATGTATTTTTCCAAATTTTTGTTTTAGAAGGAAGGTCAGTTTGATTGCTTTTCATTCTGTCTTTTTTCAAGGAAGGGGACTAAAATAGTTTAAAAAGTTCTGCGCTGTTCTTGTAGTGGCTAAAGATAAATATCAGTGTAAACCTTGAGCTGGATGACATGCATTCTGCTGGCAAAAGGGAATTAGGAAAAAGAATCTGTGCTAGAAAGACTTTCAGTGCAAACTGAAAAACAGCTCTATCTGTATGTTTCAGTGTACAACTCAGAAAGGAGAGGTAAGGAGAGGAAGACACGTTGGCTCTGGTTGGAGTATTGCTCTCACTACTATGCTGTAACCTTTGTTCCTCAGACAAACATTTCAAAAGCTATTTTTGCCTCCCATTTTCCACCCAGTTGGCATCAAACAGCTGCTCTTTCCTTCGTCATTTGCAGGAGTCCTAGTGCTAAGCAGTGGTTTTCTAGGCAGTAATGTTTTAATAGGTAATGTTTTCTCGGTTCTTCTGAGCCTGACACATCCTTATTTGGATTCATGATGATGGCTTAAGTGGTTTCATACACATACTTGTGCATGCACTTATCCCTACTTGGTTTACAGGCAATTAAGGAGCACCACTGTCCATTTTGTTACTCTATCAATACGTAGATTTGCAGAAGAAAGTTCTGAAATGCAGATCTAGTTTGAATCTAGTTTAGTGCAAGTGCAGTCCCCGTTGTCAGAGGAGGCCAGGACACCTGTGGCCACACAACCAAGAGTTGAAGTGGAAGACAGTAAGGCATCCATCTGAACCGACTGCATGTACGCATGTCATGGGTATGTAAGCAGGAGGGCAACCTTTGAGAAGCAGCTGAACAAAGGGAGGGAATGAGTACTTCAGCAGGAGGTTGTGTTTCCAGAAGGAAAAGAGCTGCCAGGCAGAATGGAAATGGATTCACCAGCACCAAAAATGAAATCTTATTTCCTGCAGCAAAGATATTTTGCTAATGCACTACTGACAGGAGAATTAACTCTCTAGGACAACAATTTCAGCTGAAAATCCCAAATCTGCAGTCCTGAGCGCATTTGTCTTTCTGAAACCTGCATTGGTGTGCTATTTCTACACGCATGCTTCAAGAACGCAGTGGAAATTTTGCACCTTCCATGTAGGAATAAACTCAGGCAATTTTTAGATACTCACCAAAATATCCTGTGAGTAAAAAATTTAGAGGTCTCCATTAGTATTAAGCATTTCCTCTTCATGCTGTCAGTGCTGCTATAGAAAGAGAAATGTACCTCAGCTTGGCTCAAGCTTAAATTCCCTCTCTTCTTGTACTCCTTAAATAGCAAATTGTCAGCTTAAGAGACTTGTTGCTGCAGATGACCGTGATTCATGACCAGTCTAAAAGAACTGAGAAGTTAATGGCTGTTTTTTCATATCCTATTAACTGCGTTGTACTCAGAACCCTCGGCTTCTAATTTTACATTCATTTAGAGGTATTGTGGGGGCTGTTTTGTCTTTGAAGCCTGGCGGGGCCTGACTTCATATTGCTCCCAGAGCTAAATCTACCTTTGGTTGAGCTGCCCCTGACTTAGGCTTATGGAGGAACAGACCGCAAGGCCATTGGTTTTAATGAAGTCAAACTACTGCATCTAAATTTCAGATTTTTCTCTTTTTGAGGTATCTGAGCACCCCTGGACCTGTCTTACTTGGAAAAACCCAGCTGGAGTATATGGGACACTGTGGTCTAAAATTAAAAATCATGTTTGCAAATTCATATTAATTAAAAAGAGACATGTGAAGCCAAACAAAAAAAATCAATGAACTAGCTGGTTCTTCCTCAGTTAAGTAACATAATTTGTTCAATTTGTTTTATGTCTCTAAGTGAGGAACCTTTTACTCACTTTGATTCATGGGCGGAGGTTAGAAAATGGTACAGTAGAAAGGAAATTAACATTTAACCTGCCTGCCTGCATATCCTAGCTGATGTCTCAATGTGACTGTAGATGTGAGTAAATTCTCCCAATAAACCAGACAGATTATCTATAATATTCACATGCCTACTTGTGCCTTGAGGATATCTCAGGATCTTTTGTAGTCATTACAGGCCAAATTAGGAAAAATAATCTGAGCAGGATGTAATACTACTTGACATATACCTAGTTTGTCAGTTAGAACTTAAGGGGATGGATCTTTAGCATCTCTGCAGATTCATGGTTTTAAACCCTGACAGTGTCTGTGAAAACAGCCAACCTGGCAGACCACAACTTGTCTTCTGAATGCAGTTATTCAGGAAGAGGTGATGGCAAACCAAAACCGTGGCACAGCTCCGTAGGATCGTGCAGATTCAATTTGTCATTGGCTTCTTTGTCTTTAGGCTAAAACTGTGAGCCAAGAGGCTGTGTGGAGCCTTGTGGACTGCACACTCTCCCATAGTAATCCCACTTTGTGAAATGCCCATAAGTCACTGGACGTGAGACCTCCTCCACGTTCTTCTTTCCCCTAATAGAAAGTGTTATAGCATGGCTGGCTGCACCTTCAAGAGACAATATGAAGAAATATACCCACTGTGATCACACAGTATTTACTTTGTGTAATGCGCTGGGCTGCCCGGTGCCAAATGGCACATGGGTGAGTTGACGTCATAAAAAAGATTTGTATGAACTGCTGATAAAAGAAAAAAAGGTAATATTTTGGAACAAAAGAGCAAAACGCACTTTAATTTCATTGAGGAGATTTCATGATGTTTCTCAGTCTTGCTAGACCTTCATGATGTCCTGGCAAATGAGTGTATGGTAAGCACAGTGAATATCAGCCCAAGGCATCTGCAGAACTAAATGTTTTATTATTATTATTATTATTGTTATTATTATTTAAGAAGAACAAAGGACCTCATATACATATATATATATATATATATATATATATATATATATGTATGGTGTCATAAAGTATCCAACTATTTTATAATACTGATAGAAAGAATAATAGAAATATGAGTAAAAACAGGAAATCCATCTCCTTTCTGGCTGGCTGCAGTTTGCCATCCCGCTACAGAAACTTAGAGCTCTGAATTTTTTGCTCTCATGTTGGATAGAAAGTTTTACTAATTTATTTTTTTAAGCCATTCACGAGGAGGCAATTGCAATACCACATCTGCTGGATTTTGGCATCTGAGAGTGAATCAGACAAGAGAAAGAAGGAGATGACTGGTTATAAAAGAAGAAAGCTGGGTGTTTATGCTTAGAGATGTGCACCTTGTGTAATCAGCTCTGATGGAGAAAAAGGCAGAAAAGACCTGTAACAGTTTAATGGGTGTTTTGATAAAATATTATTATTTTTTTTTTTCAAAGTTTGCCAGAGTGAGGCAGTGTTTAATAGGCAGGATCATTATGGTCAGTGCAGAAAATCTTTTTGTATTCATGTTCCTGCCCCCTTCCAGGTAATAATAGCCTAATCACACAGTAATAAAGATAGGCTCACGAAATCTTATTTCCTTGTAAATTCAAAACCTGACTGCCTAAGAAGATGGGGGGGATATAGGAGCCTGTTTTTTTTTCTACAGAGTGCTTCTTATAATGGGTGCAAGATGATAGACTATCTGCCACATCTACAGGCTGAGATGTTGCCTACCTATTAAAATTCACCATGAGCTGAACTTACCTGATTCTGTGTAGTTCCTTGGCTGCATTGCTAGGTTTCATGTGGTGTCACCCGTGTGGTTTTAGAGACATGGATCAAGAGCTTGCTCCTAGCTGCTATCACAGGAGCTTTGCATTATTCCAACATATACAACAGCCTTAAAATGAGGACAACTGCCCCATTTAGGGACTTTCTGCATAGCTCTGGTGGAAAGGCTATGGCTTGTTGCCATTTGCAAGTCTTTGGAAGTAGATTTCTTCTCCAAGCTGCTGTTTTGAGCTCTTCAGGCGCTGGTTTCCCAACCCACTGGTAGTCAGTGTGAGTTGTTTGAGCTGGTATCATTTAAGCAGCAAATCTTTGCTAACATATTTACATTCTTTGAAATGCATTTGGAAACAACTGTATGAGCTGACCAGCTTGCAGAATGGAAGCAAATAGGGTCAGAGAACAGGGAAAGCTGTCTCTTGATCTGTTAGCTGGAATCTAGGAAGCTACAGCTGGTGTAAGGTGTGCTGATGTCTTACCTGGGTGCTGATGGCAGTAGGAAATAAAGCATTCAAAAGGAGACTGGACTCCTTCCTTCCACTTTTCTGAGCAGAGAGAACAGCTTTTGTATCTTTTTACATATGTTGAGGGAGTTCTTGACATACCGGGTACAAATTCTAAACTATACCTATGGACAAAATATCTACTGAAATACTGTGAGGATGTGAAATGCAGAAAACAAAAATATGATAATGCTAAGATGCAAAGCAGTGGCAGCATCTTACGCTGTACAAAATCTTTTCTGCTTCAGTTGGAATTTGGTTTTGTTCCTTTGTAACTGTTATTAGAACTAATTTCAAGACAGTAGCTTCCTATGTCCTTTTCAGAGGGACTGGAGTCTCCATATGTTGCAGACAAATTAAAAAAAGAACCACAGAATGCAGAAAATATTGCATATGTGCCGTTAGATCCAGCTTTTCTGTTTGCACTTCATTTGATTATGAGTATTTTCAGCCATCTAACGCATTAATACTTCTCTGTAGGGAGGGGCAGGGTTCATAGCCTTTTCAAAGCAGCACTAATGAGTGCCTTTAACTTAATAAAATGATCATTTGCCAACTACTTACCATAATGTGAACTAGATGCTTTCAGTCCAGAGATTAAAAGGAGTTTTCTTTGTAAATGCACTGCAGTTGCTATTACTTCATGATCAGTCGTATGCAGATACTTAGGATGTTCATTGGTTATTGTTTCTGAAATCTCAGAATCTCATAAAATAGGCTGGAAGGAGTTGCTAGAGTCTATATTGTTCCAATAATAT